TGCTGCCAGGACCAGGCAGGTCTTTAGGCTGTTGCTTTTGGCCATTTCTCTCATTACAGGCTTCCAGCAGCTGCCTTATCTCATGGAGAGGCACTTCCATTAGGTAGGAGAGGAAGGGAAGGAAGAAGAAATGAGGTAAGGAAGGAAATGGTCCAGGAGGGAGAACCTGTGAACTCCAGCTCCTGGATTGAATCAATGACCATTTCTCATGTGCTGCCCCTCTCTGCCCCAGTTGTTGCTGAGCCCTTTGCTTCAGCAGCCTGGAGCACGAGACTGAACGTGCTTGTGTCCTGGCTCCAGCCAATCCTGCCTTGCTCTGGGTTTACTTGGCTGCTTTTATCGGGTCTGCTCTCCTGGAGCCCCTCTGGGGTGAGGGCAGAGGGTTTTGGGGCTCCCGGGGTTCTGCGCTGCTTGTCTGTGACTTCCCACTCCGTGGGTAAGAACCCAAGCCCTGGTGTCCCTCAGAGCACACAGCTGGGGAAAACAGGCTGTTTTTCAAAGGAAAAACTCGCTGGGCACCAGGTCAGGAGCAGAGCCCTGGCAGCCTGGGGCAGGAATCCAGCCAGCATTGCTGGGAGCTCCCAGCCCTCCTCACACCCGACCTGCCCTGTGCTCCCCCAGGGCTGTGAGCTGGGATGGGAGCACTCAGGGAGTGCAGGGAGGGCTTTAAAAAGCCTCTCCTTGAGGCAAAAGCAGCAACAAGAGATGCTTTAAAGCTGGTAAGTGAAACTCCCTTTTTGTTTGTTTGTTTGTTTTTTTTCCCCAATGCTGTTTTGGAGGCTCAGGGTCCCTCTGGCTACATCAGGTTTGGGTTGGAAGGGACCTTAAAGCCCATCCAGTTCCACCCCTTGCCATGGGCAGGGACACCTTCCACCAGCCCAGGTTGCTCCAAGCCCCGTCCAACCTGGCCTTGGACACTTCCAGGGATGGGACAGACACAGCTTCTCTGGGCAACCTGTGCCAGGGCCTCACCCCCCTCACAGGGAAGGTTTCTTTCCTTATATCCAGTCTGAACCTCCTCTCTATCAGTCTGAAACCACTCCCCCTTGTCCTGTCACTAAATATCTTGTAAAATATCCCTGGGGAAGAACTCAGCTTTTGTATGGGAAAGGATGGAGCCATCAGCACGGGCAAAACCAGAGAATCAAAGCGGGTGAAGCTCAGTAACTGGCTGTTAAAGATGATTTGAAATCCTCAAACTGGGACTTTGGAGAACAACATCAGGGGGAGGTGTTGAATGCACCGTTTTATGTGCCGGTTATTGACCCTCTCTTGCTAATCTCAGCAGAGGAACTGGAGACAATTTGTGCTTGTTAGAGCACAGGGCCAGAACCCCTCCCTTCCCAGGGCAGAGCCTCACCCTGCTGTGCACAGGCACGACCTTGCCAGCCTCGGGGTTACAGCAGCAGGAGACAACATCTGGCTGCTGGCTCAGCTGTGCTCTGCTCGCTGCTCCCAGTGGGAAAGGGGAGGTTGTTTCAGTGGGAATAAGTTAGAAAAATGACAAAGGGAATGTCTTATGCTTCACAGCATCTCTGCAACGTGCCAGGTATCCCTGTACCACGGGCACTTCAGCAGCTGCCAGGGTCTGTTGTCACTGTCGCTTCTCCTTCCCTTCATTTTTCTGCAGAACCGCGGAAAAATGGTGAAAACTGGGAGGAAAAAGCCCTGCTCGTGTCCCCCTTCCTCCCTGTTTCATCTGTGTGCCAGTGTTTAATTTGGAAAGCTCTCTCAATTCAGTCACTGTTTTCTCATTTCAGGCAAGCAGGATGGGTAGAAATATTGATCTTCTTTTAATGAGTTTTAAAGGGAAAAGTGAGCGTGACTCAGAGCAGGGAGGCAGCTTGGGCTGGGGGATGTGTCTTTATTTTTCACCTGCTCCTGGTGTCTCCTTTTGGAATCTGCTCTGGTTTATCCTTTCCCCTGCCTGGGCTGATCCCTGCTCACTGGGGTTTGTTGCAGTGAAGGTGTTTTGTTTGGGTTTTTTTTGGTTTTTTGCTGGCTGTGCTCAGATCTTCAATTAACTTTTGCCTCTTCATTTAACTTTTGCCAGGTTTGGTTTCCTGGCAGCCTCGGGGCATGGGATGCTCGGAGGGGAGATGAACTGAGGCTGGGATGGTCCTGGGCTGGGAGCAGCAGCCGGGGTGAGTCCTTCCCCTCCTCTGTGCCCAGAGCAGCAGAGGATGCTCAGGCTGGATCCTGTGCCTCTGCTGTTCTCTCCCACTGGTGCTCCAGCACCACCTACAGTCCTCCCCGGGCTGAGGAGATGCTCCAGTGCCACTGGGCACAGCACGAGTAGGAAAGGCTCAAGCTGAGCCAAGCTGTGCCTTGGGGGGTATTTGCAGCCCTGCCTGTTGCTTTCTGGCCTAAACACGAGGTGGGGGAGCCTGGAGAAAAAAATCCAAACCCACCCCAAACCCCCCGTTTTCACCCCAGCTGCCCAGCACAGGGTGGGGTTGTGCCACCACCCCTCTGGTGCTGCTCGGGGACGGCACAAACCTGCAGGTCAGGAAACCCTCACAGGAGTTTCCCTGATTAAACAGCATTAAAAATTCATTGGTGACCTGAGCAACAGGCTGTCAGCTGTACCTTTCGGGGGTGGAGAAGGGTGTGAATAAGAGAAGTCCCTCTTTCATGGGAGAGCCCTTTCAGTCTGATTCTCCTTTTGGTTTTGGGGACTGGCAGCACCTTGGATGTGACAACTGTGGTGGAGCATCCCCTGGGTCAGAGGAGGATGAGGGGATGCAGCAGCACAAGGCATTTCTGTTCCACCAAGAGCTGTGCACTGGTAGGAAAAGCATCTCCTGCCCCACCATGGCCCAGGCAGCAGCCAAGCCACGGGTTAGAAACTCTCCCCCTCCCGTGGGGCCCCCAGCATCTTTCAGCAACAACAAATTATGTGGCAAAGCAGAAGCTGAGCTGGGAGCTGCTGCCTGACTTTTGCTGCTCTTGGTGTGCTACAGCAAAGGCTGCAGGGAAGATCCAGCACCTGGGCAGGTGGGGCTGTTTCCCTGGGATCTCTGGGCACGCGGGGTGGGGAGGATCCCCCCGAGGGATGGGGGCCCACCAGCCCTCACCAGCACGTCCCTAATGCAGCCTGTGGGCAGGAGAGTTGTCCTTTACATGTCACAGCTGGCAGGCACTTGGCTGGAGATGTGGGGGTGATAAAAAGCAGCTCCAGGCTCTTTTCTGTTCTTTCCCCAGCCTAGGATGTTCTGTTCCTCAAGGTGTTCAGAGCCAGCAGGGCTGGCTGGAACTGCAGCCCCCCACTCACACCGAAAGCCTGGGCACTGCCACTGCCCCTCAGCAGCACCTGGGGCTTCTCATATGGCAGGTAATGGGGGGAGAAAGGGGGGCAGCAGATGGGAGACGGGTTTGAGAGCTGAGGCAGCTCCAGAGCTGCTGATCCTGCTGGGAGAGGCACCAGGGAGGGATGGGAGCATTCCCTTGGGGCTCCCCAGCCAGAGCAGCTCCTGAGAGCAGGGGGATGGAGGGGCAGGACAGGGGCAGCTGGATGATCCCCCCACCCCTGTGAGGGCCCTGTCAGTGGGGGAAGGGGGGTTTTGGAACCAGGAGTCCCTGGAGCGTGGCCGCTGCGCATGCACCGTGTCGTGCCGGGGAACCCGAGCTGGGTCACTGGAGATCCGTGTGCTCGGCTCCCACAGCTCTGCTCCTGCTGCCATGGTGAGAGGGGATTCCAGAGCTTTGTCCCCTTCCACCACACCCAGCCTTTGGCACTGATCCTCTCTCTGGACTCTGCTCCTCTCCCCAGAGTCCAGACTCACCTGAGCGGGTTTCCGACGACCCAAACGGCATCGAGGACGCCGGGCACAGCCCAGGGAGCCCGGCAGCCGAGCCAAGGAGGGGGGCACAGGGGACACAGCCCTCCCTGGGACACGTGGGTGAGCTGTTTGTGGGTTTTGGGAATGGGGAGGGTGCCCTGAGCCCTGAGCTCCCACAGAACCCACGGCCTTAGCTCAGCTCCTCCCAGCACTGAGGGAGAGGAGCACTGAGCCCTAGAAACTGGTGCCCAGTGACCCAAGGGCTTCACCAGGGCTTGGGAGAGCTGTGAGAGGTGGGCAAACCATGCTGATCCTCTGTCCCTCTTTTAAAGATCCTGCTGAAGCATCTTTTGGGACTCTCTGCACCCTCAGGAGGCTGTTCCTGCTGCTCGGGGTCGTGGGGCTGCTGGCGGGGACGGCGGCTGGGATGTGGCTGCTGGGTCAGTGTGTCCCCAGGATGGCCCTGCTGCGAGTTTGGGGCATCAGCATTGGGGGGGGGGGTGATGGGAGCTCCTTGGTCAGTCAGCTGTAGCTTGGGATGGAGAGATGTGGCTGCTGCGGGCTCTGCTGCTGCGGTGCCAGAGAGGCTCATTCCCCTCTTCCAGTGGCACTGCAGGATTGTCCCCAATATCGTGCATCCTGGGTGCTGCCCAGGCTGTGTGGGTCCATGTGCACCCCCTTCTCTGTTTCCTGCAGTGAAACACCTGCAGGAGGCTCACCCAGAGCAGGGGTCCCCCCCTCTGCAAGAGCTGGATGTGATCCCAGCGTGTGGTGACGGGGAAGAGGAAGAGCCCGTGGTCCGGGGGGCTCCCAGTGCAGGTTTGTGTCTTTGCTTGCTGCCAAAAAGGGTGGGGAGAGGGCTTCTGCCAAGCCCAGGAAGAACAGAAAAGGGGCTCTTTAAGAACAAATATCTCCTGCTGACCCACTAGCTGTGTTTTGCAGTTGTTTTGCTTTTCTTCTAAGTCCCGCTGCTTCCCCCAGAACTGCAGCTCCATTGCATGGGGGGATCCCACAGTGAAGGCAACTCTTGCAGGGCTCCTTTGCCTGGGACCACCCAGTGACTGGGATCACTTGTAGCATCCAGTTGCTCAAATGGCTTTTTCTGGGGGTTTGGGTGGGTTCTTCTTGCTGTAGCCGTGTGTGACCTGCACAGAGCACTGCCAAGGGGACTCGCAGGTTGTCTTTAATGGAATGGCTTTAGTGTCTTTCAGAATAAACATGGCAAACTCCCTGCTGGAAGCTCAGCTGGAAGGACATCCTGGCTGGCTCCTGGTGTGCCACGAGGGCTGGAATGGCTCCCTGGGCACCCTGCTCTGCCAGCAGCTCGGGTACCTCAGGTGGGCACGGCAGAGGCAGCTGCTTGGGCCCCTGTTTGCCCTGTTCTGAGGGGGATGATCTTGGCAAAAGCAGGAGATTGAAGGCTGGGGGTTTGTCAGGGCAGCAGGTGGAACCTGGGACTTGGGATGACCCGGGGACCTGCAAGAACAGCTCCAGAAGACCCTCCCTGCCCAGAGGTTCATTCCCAGCTGCCAGAGCTGCAGGACTGCAGGAGTGTTGTTCCCATGGCAGGGTCACATTCCTGATCCCCTTCCTGGGGCAATTCCCCTTGTTTTTGCAGAATGACCCATCAGAAAGGAGTGAACCTGACGGATGTCAGGGTGAACGAGGAGCAGCAGTTCCTTCAGGTCAGACCCCACCAGGAAGGGAGCCTGGAAGACTTGTGGGAGGTCAGGTAAGGGCAGCTCTGAGTTGGCTGAAGCCTTTTCTTTCAGGTTCAAGAACACAGCAGACTGTGCAGGTGCTGTGCAGTAAACAGCCCCTTTGGGAAGTGCTGCAGCCGCCCTGGGGCTCCCCAGTGCCCTGGGGGTTTTGGTTGCTGTTTATCCTGCCCAGGAGGATTTATTCCTGCTGTTTCTCTCTGCACAGGAGCAGCTGTGGATCGGGGCGAGTCGTGGCTCTCAAGTGCTCAGGTGAGCGATTCCCTCTTCTCCTACATCCCCAGGGTCTCTGCCCAGATCCAGCAGCTTCTTTCCTCCCGTTCCACCCGCTCCCCTCACCCTCCAGCGTGAGGATGTGGGGCTGGAGCCCGTCCTAACCCCTTGCAGAGTGTGGGCTGCCCCCCGGGGCCGTGCGGGTGGTCGGGGGGGCAGATGTGCCCCCTGGGCGCTGGCCCTGGCAGGTCAGTGTGTGCCAGGGCTCCCAGCACCGCTGTGGGGGCTCGGTGCTGGCACGGGAGTGGATCATCACGGCGGCTCACTGCGTGCACAGGTACCCCCAGGCCCCCCGTGCCCACCCTGCTGTGCCCCCAGCCCTCAGTGCCCGCTGCCCTCGGGTCAGGGCATGCTGTGTTCTGTGTTCTGTGTTCTGCTCAGCTCCAGGAGGCTCCAGGGCTCTGCCTGGCGGGTGTTTGCAGGGATTGTCACCCACGGCTCCCTCAGGCAGGAGGCCGGGGTGCCAGTCCAGGAGGTTGTTCCCCACCCGCTCTACAACCACAACAGCCTCGACTACGACATCGCCCTCATGAAGCTGCGAGTGCCCCTGAATTTCTCAGGTAAGTCGTTGTGTCCTTCTGTGGAGTTGTCTGTCCTGTCCCACCGTGAAAAGCTGCCCAAAAACGAGCCTCTTCTGAACCTGCCCCTTCAGAGTAGCTCTTACAAAATCAGAATCACAGAATGGTTTGGGTTGGAAGGGACCTTAAAGCTCATCCAACCCCCTGACGTGGACAGGGACAACCTTCCCAGGTTGCTCAAAGCTCCATCCAGGCTGGCCTTGATCCTTAGCTGATCCTCAGCTGGCTCAGAGATGTCCCATCTTCACGTGGGTTGCCTTTGGCCACCTCGACTCGGACGTCGAGGTGCCAGCGGGTAGACCTGGTGTCCGAACCGGGCGGGTAGACCTGGTGTCCGAACCGGGCGGGTAGACCTGGTGTCCGAACCGGGCGGGTAGACCTGCTGTCCGGTCGGGGCG